ATCCCCAGCTTTAATCTAACTGTCTACCATACTGGCAGTCCAGTGGGATTTGCAACCATGTCATAAATACACCATTAAGGAGAGCCAGGATCAGCCCCATCCCAAGCAGGAATATTCAAGGATGGTGCGGAGACCAATTCATTTCCTGTGTGCTCATCTAAATGAACGTTAGGTTTTATGTCATTTGAAAGGGGGGGGGGCTGTGTTCCCTCCTTCCAGTGATCCTTGCTGCAGTTAGAGATATTTTGTGCACCAACCTCCCTTCCCGCGTCCTGCCTTGCTTGTATAGATGGGAAGGCCTGATGGGGAGGGAAGAAACCTGACCCACTAAATTTGAAGGAAACATCTCCCTCTTCTGCTTTCCTCCAGGTGTACTGGCCTATCCAAAAAAAATGCAAATAGTAAATGCAAAGGAAAATCAAGTTGCTTCTCTCGGAGCAGGCAAGTTCTTATATTGGAGACTAGTGTCCAGAAAATGAACTGGAGATGCCACATACATTCTGGAGCCATTGGTGGCAATGTATATTATTTCACTTCCTCTGGAAAATGATGGACTGCTTCTGGTCATACTCCTGCTCCTGTCAGTCAGTGGGGCCCTAGATTTCCATCCCCAATGCCTGAGGTGGGGGGGGGCACATCGTAGAGGCTGAGCAAAGAAGTGGATGTAGGAAATACATATGTCAGAGAAGACACAAAACAAAAACAATATACGTAAGAGGCAAAAATGTGAGGGTGACCTAAAGACTAACTGCTCTATGTTAATGTGACCTTTTGTGGATCAAGTCCCACTTCCTCAAACCCCACTTGGAAAATCACAGCTAGGTAAATGTGTGTGTGAATGCGAATTAAGAACTTTCTTTGGTTCTCTTTTCCCCTTTTGTATTATGCTATAATGCTCAGGTTTTACCAGTAAGCAGTCACAGAATCAGAGAACTGCCTAAAGACTAACTGCTCTATGTTAATGTGACCTTTTGTGGATCAAGTCCCACTTCCTCAAACCCCACTTGGAAAATCACAGCTAGGTAAATGTGTGTGTGAATGCGAATTAAGAACTTTCTTTGGTTCTCTTTTCCCCTTTTGTATTATGCTATAATGCTCAGGTTTTACCAGTAAGCAGTCACAGAATCAGAGAACTGGAAGCTTGTTGTTGTTTAGTCATTAAGTCGTGTCTGACTCTTTGTAACCCCATGGAGCAGAGCATGCCAGGCCCTCCTGACTTCCATTGCCTTCCGGAGTTTGGTCAAATTCATGTTGGTAGCTTCAATGACACAGTCCAACCATCTTGTCCTCTGTTGTCCCCTTCTATTCTTGCCCTCACACTTTCCCAACATCAGGGTCTTTTCCAGGGAGTCTTCTCTTCTCATGAGATGGCCAAAGTATTGGAGCCTCAGCTTCAGGATCTGTCCTTCCAATGAGCACTCAAGGTTGATTTCCTTTAGA